GGCTGGGAGGGAGGATGGAGAGGGGGAGGGTGTGTGGACAATGTTTTGACAGAGCTACTCCCGTGTTTAGAACACATGACTGAGGGAGAACACAGAAATGTGTCACTGCAGCAAAAAGTCTCAATACAATAACTTGTAAACATGTTGCTTTTAGTATTGCTATTATCAAACATCTTTAAAGGATGAAAAAAAACCTCTCAGACACTGTAATAAATATGCAGAAGAATAAGCAAAAGAACTGGCATTGCATACAGGCAAAATTCTGAATTGAACCAGCAATTAATTCTCTATGGGTGGTTTTGATTTAGGCAAAATGCTCTCATTCAACACTGGTGGATCCGTTATATATAACAGGTGACGATTTACTAGCTGGGAAGTTACCATGGACAGATGGCACCTCAGTACATGAATTATTTCTGTCTTAAAAGTGCTCATGGATGTTTAACGCTTAAACCCCTGAATTATTTTCCACATTTTGATGGAACTTTCTTCAAATCTTGAGAAAAACACAACAAAGTATACATGAAAAATATACATAAAAAGGCTAAAACTATGTCAAAGAGAAACAGGAAGTAGTTTATATTACACATTTGTCTAACAATTCTGAGTCAAAATAAATTTTTTCAAATTGGTAAAAGATTGCATTAGCGGTACTGCTCCAAGCACTGTGCCATGTGACCGGACGCTGGGACTGTCCACTCAGGGACCAGGCAGGTCTCACTGGACACTCTCATTGTCCACCTGGGGTTAGAGATTAATGTAACAGTACATCAGCAGGCTGTTCTAATGGACTAAGCCCAGAAAGCCACATTTTTTCAGGAGAGAGAAAAAACTGTTTCATTCTTTCAACAATTGCACATACATTATGTTTCTTTTTTCTTGCTATTTTCAATATTCAGAATTTGAATTTCGACAAAATATTTCTTGAGCATATGCAACTCACACCCCAGGTTAAGAAACTGTAATTTTTAAAAAGAAAATAATAATAATACTTGGGCTTAGTACATCTGAATAGCTGGCTCAGTGGCTGGTGATTTGCGAACAAACTGCGATGTGTGGTGGAAAGACTAACCAGCACACCACTGATGCTAGAACCAGAGTCAACAGTCAGAGTTTACTTTTACTCCGATTACGGAGTAGAGAAGGAGGGGCTGAATGCACAGAAAGCTGGGATAAATGGGCTGGTTATTGTTCTCAAACAAGGACAACACGAAAGGGTTAAAGTAAGTCAATATGAGGAAAGGGGACTCTGTTATATGAAGAATTATGCAGAGCATAAAGTTTGGAAATAAACCTTTTGGAGAGGAGGTCGCTATTTTCTAGAATACATTTAGAATATTGCATTTGAAGAGATACACTTGATCTTCTATTTAGAAAGAAAAAAAAAGGTTGTGCAGGTGTCATTCTGCTCTGATATGATATGGAATGCTACAAGAGCTCTTTAAAACTTGGCATAAATTTGTTAAAATGAGAGATGTATGTTCATTGATTTCCTGTTGGTGAGTGAGGTCAAAAGAAGCTTCAAAGACAATATTTTCTGTTGTTTTAGGCATTATTAATGCAATTTTCCGACAGAAAGAGAAGAAAAAATACAAAATGAAATGGGTTTAAAATTCAACAAACATTGCAAAAGTGTGAAACATCGTGGTGAAATCAGGCGCTCGTCAAAAATAAGGAAATAACCCCCCCCCCCCCCAGCATTTTGATTTTGCTAAGTGTCGGGCAATTTTTATTTAATTCTTTTAAAAAAATTTCAACTCTTTTTATGTCCATTCAAAAACATATTGCAATGTGGATTTTACTGAAACTTTGGAAGGCACCAACTTATTTGGCTATTTTTATTCAAAATACTTATAATTTTTTTACCCAAAGGCAAGTGAACAAGCTTTAAGATTATACCAATAATTCTCTACGCCAAAACATTGACAAGCGCCTGATTCCATTGTGTTGTGACACATCTTTCTCTGGTGCTTTGAAACTGGAGTCCGTCATCAGTGCAAGCGGCCATTTATTTGCGCTAAAACACTAACAAACTGACAAGATCTTTCGCTGTCTCTGACCTCACGATTACGAGTCCAGCAGCCTGACTACTAGGCCACCGACACCACGGATATGTGCAGAATACACTCATCAAACAATCATATTCCAAACACAGCTGTGAGAGGAAAAGAGAAAGTAGCAGAAGTTCATGTTTTACAGCCCGGACAAAGTGCAATACAGACAGTACAGGTTCCTAAGCTACTTTGAGCAAAAGACATGGGCCCCACACACACACACACACATACCAGCACAGAGATAATTGCTAGACTCTACCACCACCACTCTCTGCGACCCTATAAGTCGTTCAACTCATCACACAGGATCATCCATTTGTGGAGGAGCATTGCCCTTTGGGATTGCATTGTAGACAGCAGCCAAAGTTATTTGTCAAAGGTGTCAAGTCAAAAATTTTTTTCAAAAACAACCCCCCACCCCCCTCCCTTTTATGTCAAATTGCAGTAACAAGTCGTACTTCTATTCAATGTGTGAACTCATTGCAAGACAACAGATGTGTCAAGTCAAAGCAACATGCTTCAGGAGTCGGGCCAAAAGTTACACATCATGAGGGTCAAGTCAAGGTGTATGTGTTAAAATAAAACGCTCCATGTACTTTGTCAAAGAAGAACAACACATTCCATGTGTCGCGTCAACTTAGCACGCTACATGTGTCAAATCTTAGTCTCAAGTCACAAGTGTCCCATCCTTCACCACTCGTCAAAGCGTTAACAAATAAGGGTTTTACAATAAATGAACACATGGTGTACTGTCGATGTAACAAAATAACTCACTGATCACAAAATTTGTCCATCCACGTCTGACGATAACCAAACTCACTGGTCACAAATGTTTGTCCGTCAACGTCTGAGGATAACCAAACTCACTGGTCACAGTAGTTAGTCTGTCAACGTCTGACGATAACCAAACTCAGTGATCAGTCATTTGTCCGTCAACGTTTGACAATAACCAAACTCACTGGTCACAGTAGTTTGTCTGTCAACGTCAGACGATAACCTAACTCACTGGTCACAGTAGTTTATCAGTCAACGTCTGACAATAACCAAACTCACTGGTCACAGTAGTTTATCAGTCAACGTCTGACCATAACCAAACTCACTGGTCACAGTAGTTAGTCCGTCAACGTCAGACGATAACCTAACTCACTGATCAGTCACATTCATGATTCATTCAAGCCTGTGAAGAAACCGCCCACACTCTGCGGGGAACAGCACCCTAAACGTCGGAAAACTTGAGGTAAGATATGAGGGCTGAGGGAAGAGGGAGACCATCCAAACGATCCAAATTTCTCCTAGGTCTACTCTGGCAGGAAACTATGGCAATTCTGCAGGCGGAAAGCAGACTTCGGGGATTTTCTGTGAACAGAAAAAAAATATTACTCTAAAAGAAAGTTCCACACAAGATTTTTAAAATCTACAAATTTTTTTACTTAAAAAAAAATAGTAGAGGATTTTACGGTGCTCGCAACTGCATAAGGTCATATGAGCACCAAGGAGTGGGTGTCAACAGAGAAGTCTTTACAGGGAATCAGACTTACTCTGCTCACCTCTCTAGCTTCAACAGCACAAGGTCTGCTTCGACCATCGAGGCACCCCGGAAATAGCAGGTCACAAGAGTGACAAACATTTACAAAAGAAGTAGAGGAAAATGACAATAGTAAGGATTAAGAAAAAAAAAGCAGCAGTTTCCTGCTGTAGATCAGGCACAGTTATGAGCATGACATGAGTCAGCCCATTTACAATTCTACTATGCTTGAACGAGAAATGTCCCCCCTTTGGGAATGGCTTAAAGACACTACAGTCAGTGGCACTGCCCCGGGCGACTACAAATTTGACCCCTGTGCCCGATTAGCATTGCTACTTTAAGACCACACCAATAACTCCACATGCACAAAAATTGACCAGAGCCTGATTCCACTGTGTCTTGACACAAAAGATTTCCTTTAAACACATGCACTTCTTAAACTTATATCCTCTTTCCTGAATGCTTTGTGTGTCCTTTGAGCATGGAAAGCAGTTTGTTTACAACAATTATAGTCAAACTTGTTTTTTTCAAATACTGAGTACACCTGGCAAGAGTGCTGCTTTAAAGTGCTGAAATGATAAAAATTTGGGTGATGGATTTGCTAACAGTTTTAGTTCCTATTCTGATTCCTATTAAGATGAGCATGTGCAATCATCAAGATCAATTTTCTTAATGTCCCAAAAATTTAATAATGATCAAAGTGGTTTTTTGCCGGCATACAGGTGTAGTACTGATGTACCCCATCTGTTTCCTGGTATCCAGGGGTCAAAAGTTTGCACTCTGTCGGGGTATAGTGTTAAAAACAACAACACAGGGCCCTAGAGGAATTTTGAGCAGGCCTGATGTCATTTTTTAAAAGTAACAATAATAATAATAATAGATAGCAACAGCAGGCTCTAGGCGCTTTACACTATATTATTACCCCAGCAGACCATAGAACACTCCGAAACATTCTCAGCTTCCCGGGAAGCATACAGTGCGAGCAGCCGATTAAGCGCTCAAACACTAACAAACTGACAAGATCTTTCGCTGTCTATAGCCGGGTACCCATTCCCACCTGGGTGAAGTGAGGAAAATTCGTGTAAAGTGCCTTTCCCAAGGACACAACGTCGGGCCCTTGACGGGATTTGAACCCATGACCTTACGGTTGCGAGTCCGAGAGCCTAACCACTAGGCCACCGACAGGAGATCCAAAAAACTGAACTTTGTTACCACGAAAACAACATTTGCTTTAGTTTTAGTAGAGGGTTTTACGGCGCTCGCAACTGCATAAGGTCATATGAGCGCCAGATGATTAGAGGTGTTACAAGAGAGTAACAAAAATAAAAAGAAGAAGGGGAGATAAGGACGATAGATGTTTGATAGGAAAGAAGAAGCAAACCACACCAGAGCACCCGCCAACCACCCATGCATTTGCTTTAAAGATAAATAAGGAAGTTATGATCAAAATTGTATTCATTAAAATATTGACGAGGGATGTTTGCAAATGGTTTTTTTTTTTTATAACAACATTCAGTTTACTGGCTCTCCTGTAAAATCCTAAAAACTGCACATATTACTGTACCTTCCAAAATGGCGGCAGAAGCAGTAAAACACGTGCGGTATTCCTGCCCAGATCAAAACCACCTGGCTCACTCACTCACCTCGTAAGTAGGCCAGTCTCCGGATGGCTGCGTTGTGTACGTTGAGCTCCGTGGCCAGCCGGTTATTTATGTCGCGACCGTCCGAGCGGACTCCAAACTGGTGCAGCACGTCGATGAGCCTCTCCCTGTTGTGGTACACGCACATGTGGTACTGGAAATCTGACGGGAGAGAGCAAGAGAGGGGGAGAGATTGGAACGTGCCTGTTACATTCTGGCTATGAGAGATTGGAACGTGCCTGTTACATTCTGGCTATGAGAGATTGGAACTTGCCTGTTACATTCTGACTATGAGAGATTGGAACGTGCCTGTTATATTCTGGCTATGCTCATAGCTTGACACTTGGCTCTCATATGACCTTATGCAGTTGTGAGCGCCGTAAAACCGTCTACTATAATTTTTTTTTTTAAATAGCTTGACAAATAATTATGAAACATGCTCATAAACAAACAGAAGACCTCTGTGAGAATGAGTAGCAAAAGAACTTGTGGTTTATTTACAAGAAGGTCATGTTACGACATTGATGCGTAATAAAATAGTTGGCCAATTAGGTCCAAGCTATTGATGTACACTCATGACAGCCAACTTTTTTCAAATTCCAATCAGGGATATCCAATGTTAAAACATCAAATTATCATTTAACGATTAACAAACTTACACAAAGTTGGACTGGTAATCAACCTTTCATCATCTGTGGTAAGAAAGTTTACACGGTCATGAACTATATTGAATAGCGAGGCGAGACACCATTGAGGAAAATCTACTTGAACCGTTGAAGAAAATACAAATTATTAACAAAACATTTTTTTTTAAAAAGAGAAAATCTGAACAATTTTCATAAAACCTAAACACCACACACAAAAAAAAAAAAAGAAAAAAAAATCAAATTGAAAAAAAAACAAAAAAACTACCAAAAACAAACAAAACAATACAATACCAAAAATATACTCAAACAATCCTTACTATCAGACTTGCATCCACAGACCAGCAGAGCCTTCACGGCCAGGTAAATCTCCTCCTCTCCCATCAAGTACTCCACGGCTGCGTCCAGGGAGGTGAACCGTGGGTTGAACACGTTGCCCGTGAGACGAGAGATGTGCCGCAGCTTGTCCGGGTACGCCCCGTACTCCAGCAGGAGCTGACAAATACAAGGTTCAAAATACAGCCAAACCTGAGCCGGAGGACCTCCCATTGTTGCAGAGAAAGATAAGATAAGATATAAGATAAGATATAAGATAAGATATAAGATAAGATATAAGATAAGATAAGATATAAGATAAGATATAAGATATAAGATAA